AAAAGGTAATTGAACACGATATACATAAATAATAACAATAAAAAATATTAACTATGGAAATAAATAGATATACGCATTTACATTTCTTGTTTAATAAAAATCAACGTTAATTTTTCAATAAATATCGATTTAATTTTTGGTAATTGCAGAAATATAAATTATGAAACGGGTGGAATTAGATGAAGCAAAGAATAATTTATATCGAAAAATTAAAAATGTAATTGAACACAATATACATAAATAATAATAATAAAAAATATTAACGGTGGAAATAAATAGATATACGTAATTACGTTCCTGGTTTAACAAAAATCAACGTTAATTCTTCCATAAATATCCATTTAATTTTTGGTAATTGCAAAAATATAAATTGTGAAACGGGTCGAATTAGATAAAGCAAAGAAGTTTCCAAGGCCTTTCGAAATTTCAGACGCTTATAAAAATTACCTAAACCGAGTAATTATAAAAATCTGTAAAATTATATTTATAATTTTCATATCGAAAAATTAAAACGTTAATTGAACACAATATACATAAATAATAATAATAAAAAGTATTAACTATGGAAATAAACAGATATACATAATTACGTTCCTGGTTTAACAAAAATCAACGTTAATTCTTCCATAAATATCCATTTAATTTTTGGTAATTACAGAAATATAAATTGTAAAATTTTGTCGTTGGGTCGAAATTGAGTCGTTTCGATTCCTCCGATTGTTTCTTAATTTTGCAATTTAGGGTATATAATTGACAGAATTGTGACGGTATAATAGTTCAATTCTTCTAACATTACGACATGACGTAGATGGAAAAGCAAGTAGACGAATAAAAAGGTTAATACGAATCACCGATTTCAACTTTACTCGTTCATTATATTTTATATTTACCTGGAAGTTTTTCCATTAATTGGACGCTGCAGAGGTTTCTCGAAGGTTCACCGAATTAGTGGATCAAAGCTTTCCACGTTAACCGAGCTAACTTAGATCTTTAGGAGTGTGTCAGTTCTCAGTAGGAACGTTAAATTAAATTCTTTCGTAGGTGATGGAGCACACTGTTCTTCAGAATGGCACGGTGAACATTCACGAGAACTACTTTGACGACATTATACCGACCTCCTCCGTACAATCTTTCGGCTTTAGGTGAGTGGCATTAAACTCTGTTAAAATTAAATCCAATTTAGCCTCGTTTCTTCTTACGCGTACGAGTTCGTCGGTTCCCTCGATGAATTCATTTTTGTTTCAATTTTCTTCACGCGGGGCTCAAGCTCGCGTTACTTATTCTACGTACCGAATAATTTGCTTGAAAAATATAAAAGATAATGTAAGAATTCGTTAGGGAGAATCCGGCCCAACCCTGAAATTCTATAGGGGTTCGCTTTCAATTTTTGAATCCCTAAGTGGTCACTCATACGAACGAGGTTAGGAAATCACAATACACGCGTGGTCTTTGGTGGTAATAATTATAATATAATTATTATAAGAAGGTTTGGTGTAATGATCACTGTTTCTCACTGACCTCACTCTAAGACTTGCTACTTCAACACTGATCTTACTCTATTGCTCGCTGTTTTCAAACTGTCCTTATACGTGGTCACTCACAGATATTAGCCTAAACACCTGGGCCAAACCCGAGGCTGTCATCTATTATTTGTTTTTGGTGAAATAGCTCAAGCGTTTCCAGGCATTCGTTTAAATCAAGAACTACGTATTAATTCCTTATACTTTCTATTTAAATGCTTAAATCACCTACAATAATCTCACATATTTCTAATTTCCTCCAAACACCACATACAAATGTAATTAAAAAAATTTTCACCTCATTCTGTATCATTCCTTCTTAATAATTATTTAATTTCATCTTGTTATTTTCCTTGATCCATTTTCTAAAGAATAATCAATTCCAAACTCGAGATCTTTATTATCAGGGTTCAACGAAAGCAATATAAAGCAAATGTTTATTTCTTCACAAAATTTTCTAACTATTTCCTAATTTCTTCCAAATACCATGTAGATATATAATTAAAAAAATTTTCACCTAATTCTGTATCATCCCTTCTTAATAATTATTTAATTTCATCTTGTCATTTTCTTTGACCCATTGTCCAAAGAATAATCAATTCCACACTCGAGTTCTTCACTGTTATAAGGTGAATTTCTATTCCTTCAAAAAATTTTCTAACTATTAAACTTCAAGAAAAATAAAAAAAAGAAATACCTTATATGTGCTGATTTAATAACAAACTTTACCAAATGTTCTCAAATTATTCGCAAGAATCGTCTTTTCCAGAAAAGGAAAAAATTCCTAATTCAATAAGAACGTTCTCTTCACACCCTTTTGAAGACATACCCTACCCCAATATCCTATTCCAAACAGTCACGAAAAATTCTCACGTCCGCACCGGTAACCCAAACCTAGCCCCTCTACACTCGCGACCCAAACGTGCAACTGGAAGTTCGACGAGGAATACCGATCTTCCTTCCCCGAAGAAGGAGATTTATGCAGCGCGAAAACTTCATTAACGTCCGAAAATTCTCGAACGCTGGTCGCGGCTCATTACGATATATCATTCCCCGAATTAATCCAGTGATCCCGATCCTCGGCTTCCGGGCGACGCGGCTTTATCTCGAAGCGGTTTGTCATCCGGCGCGATCGAGTCGTGCCAGAAATGCAAACGCGGCCACGGCTCTTACGGTGATCATCTTCTGGAAATCGCTTTTCAGGACCGTGAACGTGTACACGGACCCGGACACGCCGAAGAGGCCTGTGACCAATATCTCCTGGTCCCCGGACTGTGCCAGCAAGATCGTGGTATCTTACTCCTTCCTGGACTTTGGCAGGCTCCCAGATTACAGTAAAAAGCTGTACATCTGGCAGGTCGGTAGGTAGAAGGAACAGCAACCTTCACGATTTCTCGTCTTAGTCCGGGGCACGATTTTCACCGTATTAGCAAGATCGCCGGACATTTGCATCGTTTTGCATCCCTTTGCATAGAAGTAGGGTCATAAGCTGGACCCAGTGACGAGATACGAGCGTGGAGCTTGGCTGTTCCTTGCTTTTTAACTGCGAGTTCAATCCGCCTTAATCTTAGAACGATATCGCTCGTTCGTCGCGGATGTTAGAGTATAGGTTAGGTTTTAGTTTTTCAGGTTAGGTTTCAATCTTAAATCGTGTTCTGTATCTTATGAGATAGGAAATATCAATGATCTTCATTAACAGTAAAATTATGGAATTAATAAAAATTAAGGTAAAACTAACGTAGACTTTTAGAACAGTGGAAATTCGATTAAAATAATAACGATCTTTATTAACAGTAAAGTTATTGTATTAATAAAAATTAAGGTAAAACTAACGTAGACTTTTAGAACAGTGGAAATTCGATTAAAATAATAACGATCTTTATTAACAGTAAAGTTATTGTATTAATAAAAATTAAGGTAAAACTAACGTAGACTTTTAGAACAGTGGAAATTCGATTAAAATAATAACGATCTTTATTAACAGTAAAGTTATTGTATTAATAAAAATTAAGGTAAAACTAACGTAGACTTTTAGAACAGTGGAAATTCGATTAAAATAATAACGATCTTTATTAACAGTAAAGTTATTGTATTAATAAAAATTAAGGTAAAACTAACGTAGACTTTTAGAACAGTGGAAATTCGATTAAAATAATAACGATCTTTATTAACAGTAAAGTTATTGTATTAATAAAAATTAAGGTAAAACTAACGTAGACTTTTAGAACAGTGGAAATTCGATTAAAATAATAACGATCTTTATTAACAGTAAAGTTATTGTATTAATAAAAATTAAGGTAAAACTAACGTAGACTTTTAGAACAGTGGAAATTCGATTAAAATAATAACGATCTTTATTAACAGTAAAGTTATTGTATTAATAAAAATTAAGGTAAAACTAACGTAGACTTTTAGAACAGTGGAAATTCGATTAAAATAATAACGATCTTTATTAACAGTAAAGTTATTGTATTAATAAAAATTAAGGTAAAACTAACGTAGACTTTTAGAACAGTGGAAATTCGATTAAAATAATAACGATCTTTATTAACAGTAAAGTTATTGTATTAATAAAAATTAAGGTAAAACTAACGTAGACTTTTAGAACAGTGGAAATTCGATTAAAATAATAACGATCTTTATTAACAGTAAAGTTATTGTATTAATAAAAATTAAGGTAAAACTAACGTAGACTTTTAGAACAGTGGAAATTCGATTAAAATAATAACGATCTTTATTAACAGTAAAGTTATTGTATTAATAAAAATTAAGGTAAAACTAACGTAGACTTTTAGAACAGTGGAAATTCGATTAAAATAATAACGATCTTTATTAACAGTAAAGTTATTGTATTAATAAAAATTAAGGTAAAACTAGTGTTGACTTTTAGAAGAATGAAAACTCGCTTAAAATATCAACGATCTCCATTGATAGTAAAATTATGGAATTAATAAAAATTAAGGTAAAATTAACGGTGACTTTTAGAACAATGGAAATTAGATTAAAATATCAATGATCTTCATTGATAATAAAATAATTGATTTAATAAAAATTAAAGTAAAACTAACGTTCACTTTTAGAACAATGAAGTCGATTAAAATAACGATGATTATTTTTATTATAACACTTTAATTATTATTATTTACTATTATAAATATCACTTTCTCAGACACTTTCTTCAAATTAAATTCAAATCTCAAGGCGATTTATAACATTCCAATAAGTCCATGATAATTCGTCAACGGTGAAAAATGGACGTATTCATTGGCAAACGTAAATGGCGGTGGAAGCACGTAACGCGTTTGAGAGTCACGCTCGACGACTGAAATCCAACGCGGTTAGGCGTTGCGAGATGCAAAGGTTCCTCGCGTTTCGACGCAAAAGAATTGATGAAAGTCGCCCTTGGATAAAGCTCTTCCTTCTCACCCTCTTCATCTACCTCTAATCCGGATTATGAAACGCCTGTGTCGTTTTACGAGCAGACAATCCCAACAAGCCTTACATGGGTCTGGAGCCCCGTACGCCGTGCGTGTGTTGTGAATTTAATCCCCGGGATCCTTCCGTCCTTGTCAGCGGTCTTATGACAGGCCAAGTCTGCAACTGGGATATCAGGACCGGCAATAGACCCGTGCAGAGCTCCCATCTGCAATTCAGTCACAGGTAAGCGACGAAACGAGAACGGGTTCCATCACGGGTTCGTCAGACTCTGGCCGAGAGACTTCTGTCGCGAAACGTTTGCTCGAGGAGGTTCCGAGTCTTTATACCGGCGAATTTCTATGTAACCTTTTCCTCAACACGGACCACTGTGTGCCTGACAGTCTGCAGGGTGTTTTCCATGGCTTTCATTCTGCTTTGCCTTGGGTTTGTTCCTTTACGAACTTTCTGTTTATCGAGTTTCGCTGCTACCTCGAGGATCCAGCAGAGACTGTCACGGATTTTCGTGGAAATTTTAGCTTCCAGCACCTGTGATGCTTCCACGCGTATGTCAATCGACAAATAAGTTAACCTCTTATCGATTGTTAAGGTAGATGTCCACGGGAAGAATTCCTTCCATCGTAAGGATCGTATTTATAAAATTGAACTTTTAATTTTGGTTATAATTTATTTCCTTGCGGTACAAATGTACGGAGGCTTGATAAGAGTCTTCACAGATGCGTGATGCAGACGGTGGTTTGTCAAAAAGTGTCTCGTCGGACCCTTCAGCCAGGGTTTTATAGGCCCATTGCGTCACTCATTGTCAGTCCTGCTTCAAAAACTGATAAACTTGATGGTTCCTCGAAGTAAACATAGATCCCTATGCAGGATGACGCCATTCAAATAAAGACTCCTCTCACATTAGATTATTATTAACCCTTTGACTACAGCAAATTTTGAAACCAGCACTAGCTGTACCATACAGTAGGAATCCATTTGCGATGTACAAACTTGTCTTTTAGCGAGCGGGTTGCACAAAAATCCGGAAATCAACATAATATTTATATAATGCCAATAATAGGTTCAAGGAATGAGAAAAGGTAATTCTGATACTTTTATATAACCGGTTTGCAACTTGAAACGATTCCTGTATCGTTTGACTGGATTCAGAGTTGAAAACAAGTTCATGAATATCTTAACATCGATTACTGTTTCCTTTCACGTGGTTCAAGAGTCGTTCTACTTAACGCAGTTCCCAACAATTGCTTTAAACAGCCCCGTGTAACAAAAGCGTTTTCAGGACAATTTCATGCCTCGAATTTATTCCTAAGATTACACTGGTTCGCTAAGCTGCGGCCTGTTTATTCGGATATAGCTATGTTTAACTCCGGTAGTCGACCAACTTTCTCCATTGTGATTATATTACTACAGCACGAGAACTTCGATTAACACCGTGTATGTATATGAAAGAGAATACGTATTACAGTAGGCCTACAACCAATCAGAATATTCCACCATTCGAGTCATGTGTGTATTATTATTTGGAAAAATAGAAGATTCCTATTCACCATTTTTCAATGATATTTTCTATCCTAAATGTATTTGAAATTTTCTGAGCAATGTTCATTGTGATTTTTAAAATCGTAAAATCACTTTGATATTGTGCTACTCAAAATTCTGCCAAAATAGGAGTCCGAGTCGAGACGGAGACTATAGAAGGAAGATTATTTGTAGTATTTGTAGCAAAGTAGTGTCAAGTATTCTAACTCGTTAACACGTTCCATACCAAGCCATTTTTGTCCAACATGATCTCCAGACTATTTGTTGTTTTGGCTAAAAATTGATATATTATCACACTATATTTCATTACACCGTCAAGCCACAAGTAATTAGCTAGTTTAGAGTAGTTATCACACCGTGTACCATTTATGATACATACGGCGTTGCAATCAGTTCGACTGTAAAAGTCAGTCAGTTGGAAAATTTTCGATTAGTAAAAAGAACTAGAAAAGTAATGACGTTTTGCAGCGATTGCTCGAATAAGCCATTTCTATGCATCCCTTGCTTTAAAAAAGTCAACCATTACGTGTAATTAATAATTATTGTATATATAACAATTAAACAAATTTATGTGCTTTGTTCTATACTGCATTCTTTTAGTGGAAATATATTTTTTCCAGAATTAAATTTGTCATAAAACATGTTTTTAGTGTATTAAATAAATATGTCTGCGTGCACCATTTATGGTACACATGGTGTGGAACGTGTTAATGGAGCAGTGACTAATGAGATCACGATTCGCTTCATCATTGACAACGAAAAAGAGAGATGTCGATAAAATCGATTAGCAGTGATACAGAGTCGATTGAAGCTGTTGTAACGACCCTAATCGGTTGGACCCCTAGCCTGAGAGAGAAATTCCAAATTTTGGAAGACTTCTTTTCAGAGTTAAACTCGATTACCGCAAGGAAACGTTTGATTTTCAGAGAATCTGCGAACGCAGTGAAATGGGTACCCACGAAGAGCAACTCGGAATTTTTCTCATCTTCCACCGACGGCTGTGCCATGTGGTGGGACACTCGATGGCTTCGGGAGCCGACCGAGATCCTCATGTTCGACCTCGAGTACCCAAACGATCCGGACATGGACAGGTCTATCGGTGTTTCCTGCGTGAATTTCGGCCCCATGGTCGGCACCAATTTTATGTTCGGCCTGGAGAACGGCCAGGTCTTGACAGGGTCCAGGAAGATGAGGACGAACTCGGAGAAGCTGGCGGTTCGATTCGAGACACACTTTGGATCAGTTAGATCCGTTGATCGGAATATCTTCAATCCATCTATATTCCTGACAGTAGGAGACTGGAGAGCTCGAATCTGGGCCGAAGACACCAGGGAAGGAAGCCTGGTTTCCACGCCGTATGTTAGTTCTCTGTTTTAAATGTCAGTCGTTTCAACGTTTGCACTGTAGAAAGCTCTAGTAAAGCTTTGGTAATTTTAAATACAACAAAATAGGTATTTTGTGGTAAACCTGTGGTGAGTTTAAACACATTTCGTATTAGGTGTATGTTGTGTCTCTTTTAATTTATGGATGCTTATTATCATCTGAACGTTTTTCATTTTACATAATATTTGTTAAAATTCAAGGCTGTAAAATGAAGCTGTGTTAAAATTCTAAAAATTTTGTAATTGATATTAACCCTTTGCACTTGGCGATCTTTTCGTTACAGAAACATAGTAATTCGAAGACTTTCTGCCATAAAGTCGACGATATTTTCAAACCAGTAAATAAGAGCGAATTAATTAATTAATTGTAAGACGTAGAATTATTTTACCTAGACATTCCACGTGATGTTGGACAATTTTAAATTCGAGATATTAATCAACAATGTTCCTTAGAATCTGATTAAATGGCGACTGAGAGTCACCTCTCGAGTGCAAAGGGTTAATTTTGAAATAAGGCAACGATATATGGAATATTGGAACGAGATACTTGTATAGATAAATTCTATCACGATTTCTTTCCATGCCATCCATTTTATCAGAGAAAAGCTCTAGTCCTTGCTTCTCTGTAATGAAAGAGTCATCGAGTCAAACACTATACACCTATCAATGTGACGATATCGAATATTCCTTAACACTTTGACTGCCACGTTGGTCATATATGATTAGCCACTGTTTCTCCTGTGACGCCACAGTGGTCATTAGTGACTGGAGTGCTTGAACTATTATAATAAAAATAATAAAAATAATAAAAATTGAATGAAAATTGACAGTTAGTGTTGCTATCAACAGTTACCAAGGCACTACGGTGGTCATTGATGATCGGAGCGTTTGAACTACTTACAATTGTAAAAATTGACAGTTAGCCGATTGTTAACCGTTATCAAGGTGCCATGGTGGTCACCCGTGACTGTCAATAAGATAAATGCTCCAATGAGTAAGAATATTGTCTATCTATCACCAATTTATTACTATTTTACCATTACATGCTTTGAATAATAAAAATACCCCTGAGAGAAACACGTGATTTCAGCGTGACAGTCAAAGGGTTAATAAATAATACAATTTCACGCAGAGAAGTTCAATATCAGGACCTACGTCTATCAGTAATTTACAAGTCCTCAAAATCGTTGATCCTTTCACTTCCTTGTCACCACGTGTAATTTATCTCTTCGTCAACAGCTTCTTGATGGAATATCCAACGAGTGGATGTTGGAACCAGGTAAGACACTCCGTCTTTTACGTGACTACTGCACTCGGACGGCTGCTGGTCTGGGATATTCTTCAGACACTTCGTCAGCCAGTGTTCACGTTGCAGCTGTGCGAAGAGAAGCTCACCTCTCTCGCTCCTTGCGAAGAGGGTGCTGCTGTGGCCATAGGCACCTACGGAGGCAAGGTATATCTCGTCGAACCGACGGATTCCTTTCAGTCGTTCGACAGAAAGGACAGAAGTTTCCTTTCGGAGGTAAGCGAGCATGAAAGGAACGCGTTTCCATTAATCGCCATTCGAATAGCTACATTCTGTCAACTGACCTTCTCATTGACGCTGAAGAAACACGCTATTCGCGTATCAGAGCCGATCTCGCGATTATGTCTCTCCTCGCGACGATCCTTAGATAAGCTAGCAGCTCATCCAACCGATTTTTGGACAAAATCACACCTGTTGCTATTTTTTAACCGGGTAATAATTGACATATGGCAACTTTGAAGATGTTATACTGGTCTCTGGTTTGGTAAATCGTTGGGACGATAGGTGATAAATTTTTTCTTCTTGTCGTTTAGAAATTGATTTTTGAAGAAAATGGCACCTGTTGCTATTTTTTAACCGGGTACTAATTGACATATGGCAATTTTGAAGATGCTATACTGGTCTCTGATTTCGTAAATTGTTGGGACGATAGGTGGGAATATTTTTCTTTCTGTCGTTTAGAAATTGATTTTTGGACAAAATGGCACCTGTTGCTATTTTATAGCTGGGTACTAATTGACATATGGCAATTTTGAAGATGCCATACTGATCTCTGATTTGGTAAATCATTGGGACGATAGGTGGGAAAGTTTTTCTTCTTATCGTTTAGAAATTGATTTTTGGACAAAATGGCACCTGTTGCTATTTTTTAATAGGATAGTAATTTATGTATGGAAACTTTGAAGAAGCTATATTAATGATTTGGTAAATTGTTGGGACGATAGGTGGGTATATTTTTCTTTCCGTCGTTTAGAAATTGATTTTTGGACAAAATGGCACCTGTTGCTATTTTACAGCTGGGTAATAATTGACATATGGCAATTTTGAAGATGCTATACTGGTCTCTAATTTGGTAAATCGTTGGGACAACAGGTGGGAAAGTTTTTTTGTTTGTCGTTTAGAAATTGATTCGAGTGGTAAAAGAATTTTTATTTTTCAAATATGGGTTATTTTTAAAAAATTTCTTTCCGGTCGAAAATTTTTGTCCAAACCCTTTTCAATTTTTTAACCCGTTATAAAATGTCTTTCTTGGTAATAGATTCCTTTTTAGCGACCATGTTAGTATTTCGACATGCTTTAGCTACACTATGTCCTAGTTAAAGCTTTTATGTCCTGAAAGTACTTTAAAGTGCCACTTTCGTTAAAATGCTACTATGAATCAAACGGGCTTAGATCTCGGATGGTACTTAGGAATAGTATGTCAATAGAGTTTTATGTATATATTTAACGCGCATTTATGATGTTCGAATAGCCTCAAAGTATTTAGAGCAAAAATAGCGCCGTGAAATGAGAATATATAATAATTAAGAATTTTCAGAGTTGAAGTAAATTATCCTACACCTTGCAGACATTTTATGGAGACACTTTACTCCGTAATTACATACATAAGGCAGTCAAAATATTTAAAAGAAAATCGAGACAATTTTTATGTTGTAAAAACGTAGAGATTTATATAGACATTTATACAATTATTATTAATTATTCGCATAATAGTGATACGATATGTAATAATTATTATACGTCAATTTTTACAATTTTACCATAAACGACGAAAATTGGCTGTTGAGTCGAAAGGGATGGTAAAAATTTAAAAAAAAGGTACGGAAATATTTAAAAATACCGAAGCACGTAGAATATTTGTTAAAATAAATCACGATTGATCGTCAATTACTCTGGCATCGACAATTTCGTGTGACGAAATAAAATATCACGGACACTGGTTTCTGCAGGAATACACAAATTTTTCTACGGCTACGCGTCCGTTGCTTTTGCACCATTTTTTGCGCGACGTTAATGATAGCAAAAACGAAATCCAAACGCGATTCAAGCGAACTTTTTCTCGTACCCCGATAATCTCGAATGGGCCGGCAAAAAATATGTCCCTTTTCGCCAGTATTTAGAAAGATCCTCGAAATTAACGAAGGCGGTGGATCTGCGATTGAGGGAAATCAAACTGACGCACAAGATCACGGGTAAAGATGAAAGCGAAGAACCGTCGAAGGAGAAAGCTAGGGTAACGAGGAGGGACCCGAGCAAAATAAAAATGAAGGGACAGGATTCGAAGTTAAAAGACCGGGACAGGATGCCGAAGGAGAAGAAAAGGGTGCGCGAGGATGATCCAGAAATTTTGGATGCCGAAGCGAAATACTTCGAAGCTGTACAGAAGGTAAAGCAAGTGACAAGAAGAGTGCAAGTCCTTCGGGTCGTAGATTTAGTTGAAACTTTGCAATTCAAGAAAATATATCATTATAAGGGCACTACTCCATAGTTTACGAGATATTTATGACTAGAGTTCTATTATTGCCTTAATTACGGATTTATTTCGAATATTTACCAAGTACCGAAATGGCCTAATGGCGATATTCGAAAATTCCTACGCTGGTGGCAATTTTTGGATATTCCCTTAAGCCACAATGCCACTTGATAACTATCCATAACTATTCGGAATAAATCTCTGGTTAAGCATAATTGTGCAGTAAAAACTAACTACAGACGTAAAATAAACATAAAATAATAAAATTATAATAAACACTGTTGGGAATTTCGTGGACGAAATAGCCAAATGAATAACGTGCAGGGAAGTAACTGTATTCAGTTATACAGCAATTGTATTTATGAAGGTTTAAAATACGTGAAATTTATACACTTTATGCGATATACAAATGAAATACTAGAGTCTTTTCTAATGCCACTGTGGGTCAAAATATATGAGATATCCGTACTGTTCCTGATTTGAGAGTGAAGAGCTCCGAGGGACAACAGGCCCTTTTAAACTCCCAAAACCGACCCCTTGAAGTCCAAAGATCGGTATTGGCCTGCAATCTTTAACAGGCCTGTCGTTATCGTTGCATAGGAATAGCTAACTTCCTAATAATAATAATAATAATAATATAATAATAATAAAATAATAATAAGCATACTAATAATAATAATACAATAATAATAATAAACAAAATAAATTCTACATCCTAGCGATGTGAGGGCAGTCCCTTCCCCAGCGTTTTGTCTTTTGTCAACGTGTGTCATTTGTTTTCCGTTTTCTTGAAATGTCTTTTGACCTGCGTGGCCCTAAACAGACAGACCAGTTCTAACCGTACGCCCGTTTAATAAACATTCACCGTTTCCACTGACTACTATTTCCTTGCAATATAACCCCTTAACAATGATAAAACTTTAATCATAAATATCTCAAAAGGTATCGAGTAGTTTCCCTTATAATGGTACATTTTCTTGAACTAAATGGCTAAATATACAAACCTGTAAAGTTTCAATTAAATCAATTATTCGAAGGACTTGCGCCTTTCTTGTAAGTTAATACCGTCGTAACGAAATTTTCCTTGGTTCGCGAGAAAATAAATTCCAGCCGACTAAAATATCCTTACTACTGTTCGTTAGTGTATAGTATAATTTTGATTTTTCCAATTTCGATATTTTTGATATCGGAAGTATAATCGTAGTTCGTGATAGTTCGACACAGAGAGATGGGATAACAAACTTTCACAGACCTGGAACTTACACTCGTTAAAGTTCACGATCAAATCTATATCGTACGAAAGCCGTAGATCGAATCTTCCATGTCGGAGCGTTTCGGGAATGAAACATTTCAGAAAAATCAGCCCTGCGCTGAAATGCGCGACAATGCTGAAATAAAACGTTTTTGGAAAATGGAAAAATGAATTTCCTACTCGGCACGCGCGAAGAATGAAACCTTGCGTAGAAATTGAATTCCGACAGCGCTGGAGTTAACCACGAGAACTTCGGTTTAACTGTCGGCTGAATTAATAATCTGAAATTCGCAGACAAAATTTTGCGCGCTTTCGAGCCAATAAATATTTCAATTCCAATATTAGAGGTTTATTAAATATAAGAGATTCCAAATATAGAGATTTAATAAAAATCTTGCTTTAAATTGCAATTCTAATTAATTTTAATTAACTCTTAATAACCTTTCCCACATCTTTGTCATAATAGAGCACGAGTTTTCTTCTTTTAGCATGGGAAAAGCACCAAAATATAATTTTTAAGCACCAAATTTCAAAGCACCAAAATATAATTTTTAAGAACCAAACCTAAAAGCACCAAAATATAATTTTTAAGGACTAAATTTCAAAGCACCAAAATATAATTTTTAAGGACTAAATTTCAAAGCACCAAAATATAATTTTTAAGGAATAAATTTCAAAGCACCAAAATATAATTTTTAAGGACTAAATTTCAAAGCACCAAAATATAATTTTTAAGCACCAAATTTAAAAGCACCAAAATATAATTTTTCAGCACCAAATTTAAAAGCTCCAAAATGTAATTTTTAAGCACCAAACTTAAAAGCACCAAAGATATAATTTTTGCTGTTAATTTTAAGCGAATCGAATGAAACACGAGTAAACGTTTTAATCTGATCATTAGGAGTTGGAGAAGTATGCCAGGGATGATCCAGTTGTCATCCCAATGGCGTCTCCAGCGCCGAGGAAATCCGACAAGAAGCGAAGACAGTCGCAAGCAGCGTCGGTGTACGAGGGCGAGAAAGCGGAGAAAGTCGCGAAGAAATCCGCGGCGAAGGAGGAAATGAGGAGCAGGAAGTCAGTGAGACGAATCTCGGAGACGAAGAAGCAGTTGTCCTTACAGGAAATAGCCACTCAACGATCGAAGCAATCGATGAGAGACCTCAGAGACACGGTGGCTGTCAGCTCGAAGAAGCCGAAGACGAGGAAGAAGCGTAGGAAGAAGAAACGTAAGGAGATCAGGTTCGTGCTACCTGTGCCTTGCAAGGGGGAGATTTGCAGGCCGAAAGTCTGCTGCTGGAGGTCAGGCGGAAGAGAAAGGTGGAGAGAGAGATCGTCGATTGTCAGAAGATCGAGCATGAAAGATGGCTCTACGGCTTCTATCAAGTCGGCCACGAGTGATTGGAAGTTTGACAAGAAGGCGAGGCGTCTGCTGGAGGAAATGCGGAAACCGCCTACGGAGCTGACAGAAGACGCTGCCAGGGCCAAGGCAGAGATCAAGATTGCGGCGACCATGCCTAGAGGGACGAAGAAGAGAAGACACGTCGTTCGATGGTCTACCGATATCAGGTATGTCCATGCTTGTATTGGGTTGGCAAGAAAGTACTTTCGGTTTTTCAGTGTGAAATAAAACTCAATTTTTTCTATACAGTAAATGAACTTTAATCGGTCAAATATCTTCCATTCTATTCGATGACCTTTCGCCATCTTTCTGGTAACTTCATGATCCCGCGCTCATAGAATTTCTGGTCCTTATCCGCAAAAAACTTAACCAAGTGCGTAAATCTCAGAAAGTCGACCAGATCGTTGTGGGTACCTTTCAGTGAAAAATCTTCAGAACGAAATTTTTTAAACTAATTCTGACACGTGCGTTCTGTTAAACAATCAACACCATAAACTTCTCGTATCTCTTTGTGAGCCTCAGCCGCATTCTTGCCTTTATGAAAATAAAAAAGTAAAATGTGTCGAAAATGCTTATTTTTGCACTCCATGTTAAGACTGACCGTGAACTGACAGTTATAAACGAAATTACACGGAATTTCACGAAATAGCAACCTAAAGGTACCGACTACCACATCTCAAAAGAAAAAAATTCTAACATTGATAAAAGAATAACTAAACAAGCATAACATTATTTACTGATGCAAACCGAAATTACTTTCTTGCCAATCCAATAGTATATAAGATATCCAGACTATTAGTAGTAGTAGTAGTAGTAGCAGCAGATCTTTATTTCAAACTCTTTGATCTTGAATTCCTATTTTTTTATTTTTTATTTCTATTTATTACTTATTATTTACAATCTGTCGGACGACAATAGGTAAATCAGCTGTCTGGCATTAGAAAATAATAGGCAGGTGATTGGCCGATGGTTCACACCTTTTAATAATTTACCATAATATGACGCGTTTATTAAACACTAGACGTACCGGTACTTTACACGTACCTATTCTTACCATAAGGAATCAAATGACCCCTCGTGGTACACAAGGTATACAAAGAATTTTTCTCGATAAAAAATAAGTTAAGAGAAAAACGGAGAGCGAGAAATTAAATAATCAAATATAATATAAGAATTTACAGAAAATCAGATGAGCGAAAGAAATAACGATAAATGTGCAATTATACAGTAAATTTTGTAAAGGATCATTTGACCTCGCTTAATGTTAAGTCTTAAGCTTGTCTGGTTTTAATCTTCTGGTGTCTGCTCTTTTATCCAGTAAGTTGATTAGGGTGCTTATTAAATCTCTACATTTTTCTCCAAAATTAATTATTTCTGTTATTATTCTATTACTGATGAAGTCTTGGAATAGACTTTAATTTATACGTTGGTACGTCGCTTATGTTACATTGCATCTCATTGCAAATTTCAATTATCTTGCTCATAATTATCCTATCTCAACTTCCATCTATTTTCTTTTGCTTTTCAGTTCTGTCTCTTTTTCTTCTATTTTCCTAAGTCAATCGCTATTATTGTATACTATTATCTTATATTTCTATATATTATTATATATTAGTCTAACAGTGATTTTTTCAAAAACAATTGGAGAAAATTAAGGAAAGAATGAGGAAGTAAAAGGTTTTGCAATTCTTTACGACCAATGGCACAGTAAATATCAATTTTGAATAATTACATTATTTCTCAAGAAATGGAAATAATCTTCAATTTTTTAAAGGGAATACCATATATTAGGTGGAGTAAAAAGAAATCCATTATTTTTGCATTCAATTTCATGCAAAACTAATGGATTTCTTTTTATAAATACAAATACTGAAATATTCAGTTGGTGGCCAACATTGTTAACTTACTTCGTCTTTCATTATATTAGGTGTAGTAAAAAGAAATCTATTATTTTTACATTCAATTTCATGCAAAAATAATGGATTTCTTTTTACTTCACCTAATATTTTTTTTTTACGGTATATGAAAACACGTGAATCTATATTTTAAGTATGAAATCTTGAGGTTATGCGAAGTCAGAAGTGAAAGAAATATATTTATATTTCGTAGTCTTATGTTTATGAAAAATCTTTATTTCCAAGATTATTAAGAAGATTTTTAATATACTCTAGTTATGGTATATTCTATTAAGGATCTCATTCTCTCTTATTCCATTTATTCATGTTATCACCGGTCTTTCTCTTCGTTCAAATTATTCAATTCAGTGATCGATAATAGATAATTTTTGACGATTCCGCGAATCAGTTCAATTATGCATCGTCGTACATAATAATGGAACGTAAAGAGAAGGAGTTCGATCTGGTCCATGCTTCAACTTCCAAGTGACTCGACGACACGCGAATTTTTGCGAATTCTACCCGAAGCTTGGCTCTCTTGTTATGCATAGTCCGCAATTTGAATTGGTGATTCAAGAAAAACTTTCATTTATTCTTCTCGCAAGAAAGGTCGGAGTGATCGATCCCGGGAAAAAGTTAATCGAAATTTCTTCGATGTGTACACCCCCTGTGCTTCTCGCGCATCGGTATGTGGCTTTCGAAATTGCACAGTCTGTAGGAAAACATTCATTTACACATTTCTTATATTTTTCTCTTGGCCCGAAGACAAATTAATCTTTCCGCTGCGGATGCACCTAGTTGGCTCCCTTTTGGCCAATTAAATGGATAAGTAAATTTTACACGCGCAACTTTCCGAGTAGCCGATGTATTTCAATATTCTTCATGCTAATTGTTATCGTGCAGGGGTAATTGCTTATGCAAGGGAAGATTAATATACGACTTGACACATTAGCATATAGATTGTGGCGTTTTCAGTAAGCTCGTTGTTGTTTATTTATATGCACGAAGAGAAGGAACCTTTCGACGATATTCATACGCTTAATGAAAGTTGATGCTACTCATAAAGGTATTATTAAAATAACAACTATAAATCACAAGTAGTGCATATCAATGATAAGGCAAGTCAGGGAGTGATAGATTAGCGTATTATAAGATACAATCTTGTTTGTAATTAATTTAATAAAATACAGCCAAATTTACCTGCGAAGTAGCATATTGAATTATAGGTAATTATTTATAGCGAAATGAAAATCAAGACGAAAATACAGACAAATTTACTTGCAAAGTACTGTATTAAATTATAGGTAATTATTTACAGTGAAATAAAAATCAAGACGAAAAATATCGGTTATTAACATGTACTGAAATATACTATACAATTAATATAATAATCATAACAACCCTAAAATATCAAACGACTTCATCAAAAACTTTAAAATATTTTCACTGTTACTAAAAATTCCCTCTAAAACCAATATACGTTGAATTTTAATTTCAAAATCAGACTCGAGAGATTCACCAACGATATTTTCTCATTTTTAATTATTCCATAATTATCCGATCAATTACCAGCTTCTTAATTTATCTTTTATTCTCCCAAAAGATTATTTTTCGACATCCCTAAAATCTCCATCCTTTCTTCTGTCGAAAACAGAAAATTACGGCCTCTGAAAGCAAGAGGAAAAATCGGTCCTATATACGAGGGACCAGGAAAATTCGAAGGAAAAGAAGAAGAAGAAGAAGACTCGAGGACGCAAATAGCGTCGTTGATGAAAAGGCCAGGAAGACGAAGAATCGCATTGGATCCTTGCAGTCCTCCACAGGCAAAAGGAGTTGTAGAATTATACACTGCTATCCTTGGTGTGTCACCTCCTGAAGAGATCGAGGAGAGAATCGTGGGCAGACATTATTTGGAGGCGTATCAGCGTATTCGCAAGAGAATTTTTCCACGAATTTCAGAATATGGCTATATTGAGTGATGATAGGGTGAATTATGATCGAACGATTCTGCCATTTTGTTTTGTGAAAATTGCGAAACGACTTCGAGCGATAATTCGATTCCTCGATTCCTTCGACCACTGTCATTCTCTATCTAATCATTGATCGAGGATCGATGGGATAATAATTGGTAGTTCTAGGTCTATTTTTATCAGTAGTACTCAGATTCGACAGTTCACAAGAGTTTTCCACGAATTTTAGGACGTGGATACACTGGCAGATGTAACTCTGGGACTACTTTCATCCTTAGTCCTCAGATTTGACAGTCTAAAGAGTTTTCTACGAATTCGAGAACGTAGCTATACTGATCGATGTACTTCTGGACCAAGTTTAGTTATTACAACTCAAACTCCTCGGTTCCAAAATTTTTCCTACGAATTTTAGAGTATGACTACTTCGAGTGACGATAGAGTTAACTATGATTTTACGATTCTGCCATTTTGTCTTGCGAAAATTGCGAAACGATTGTATCATTCGAGTGATAATTCGATTCTTCGATTCCTTCGACCACGTTCTTTTCTATCTAATCTTTGATCAAGGATCGATGGAACAATAATTGGCAATTCTAGGTTTATTTTCACCATTAGTTCTCAGATTTGACACTCTAAAGAATTTTCTACGAATTTTAAAACGTAGCTACACTGGCCGATGTACTTCTAGGCCAAGTTTAGTCTCTAGTCCTCAAACTCCTCGGTTCTAAAATTTTTCCTGCGAATTTTAGGAAATGGCTACTTCGAGTATCGATGGAGTTAACTATGACATAACGATTCTGCCATTTTCTTTCTTGAAAAATGCGAAATAACTGCACCATTCGACTGGTAAGTCGATTCTTGGATTTCTTTGATCAGCGTTCCTCTTTATCCACCTTTGATGGAGGATTGATGGGACAATAACTCGCGATTCTAGGTCTATTTCCACCAGTAGTCCTTAGATTTAACATTATAGAGTTTCCTACGATTTCTAGAATATATTTACATTGGTCGATGTACTTCTGGGCCAAGTTTATAAACTGGTCCTCAAACTCTTCGATTCTAGAATTTTTCCAATGAATTTGAAAGTATGGCTGCCATTTTCTTTCTACAAAAATGTCAAATACTTTAACTTTACCATTCGACTGAAAACTCGATTCTTCAATTTCTTCGACCAATTTTTGATCCTCCCTTGGTCAGGGATCGGGTGAAGACGAATATCCCAATTCCAGTTTATCTCTAATCACGAGACTGGACACTGTGAACCCCGATTAGGCGGTTATCCGGGTACATGAAGTGGTTTGCAGCTCGTTAATAAACCTCGTAATTTAGAGCGACGTTTCTTTCGTTCGGTGTAATTTATTTTGGCTGCCGTGGAAGCGCGCCAAGCTGTTCTACTTGCTAGATATTTATCGCGTTACGTTTTCTTCCTCAAGAATTTGAATTAAATTCCACGAGATTCTGCCCTGGTCTCTTCTTTTCCTTCCAATGGCAATGGGAAGGAATCTGTGGCGACAAATAGTCTTCGTCTGGTTCATAACGGGGATATATTTAAGTTAGATAAGAAAGGCGTTAAGTTTACATTATGTATATAATCGTAAGTATTTCACGTTTGTAGCAGGTTACGCGAAAAATAAAATGAAAGAGAAAGAGAAATGAATTTTTCGTTGCGTTAGGCTCCCCATCGAATTTGTGAAAAGTGGTTACGTATGGTAACGAATAAACGGAATTTTTATTGCCTGCATTTAATCAATATTATTAAAATTGTATCAAGAAGTTATACACATATGGCATAACTGTCCTTTAAATTTTTATAATAACCAACTTTTCTATTTTTAGAAAAAATTGACTCGTATTTCTGCCTCTCTACGGTCATTCATATCTAATGAATGAAAGTAGGTTCAAAGTTTGGATAAATATATATATTCCTTAGTGTGTTGGAAATGACAGAATTGCAGAAGAAATTGAATACAAAATTATACAAATTTAACCCTTTGCACTCGAGAGGCGAGCCTAAGTCACCGTTCAATCAAATTCCGAAGACCCATGTTAATTAACATGTCAAATCTAAAATAACCTAAGATTACATGGAATGTCGAAATAAAATAACTTTAAGTCTTAATTTATACCCGATTACTGCAGAAAGTCTTTGAAATGCTATTTCTCTTTAACCAAAATAATCACCGAGTGCAAAGGGTTAATTATTAATATGTAAATATTAATTGACTCATTTACTTATTTTTATTGTCGTGGAATGGATGATTGCTCATATAAAAATACGTGTCAAATATTTTTTGAAAAGCTATCCTATCTGTACATTTGATCAAAACCTTTAATTAACCTGTAACGACCATCATTCTCACCCTCGCCACTAGATGGATTCTAACTTTAAGGAAGTTCGAGGACTTTTTCGCAAGTCTTCGGTGAATCCTCGACCTCCTATAAATATTCCTCCCATAAAGTTCCTATGCTATTTAAGCATCCCTGGCTAAGGCAAGGTCTGTTAGAAAAGCCTTACCGATGAGTCCACTAGCAGGCCCGGGACGAAACGCATCCCATCCTTTTCCTTTCATCCCTTCTAGCATCACCGCTATTAGAGGATACCTGCGATCAGCTCGACTTCAACGACATGGGGAAGTCCCTACAGCTTCAATGCGAACGACTAAAAGTGACAATTCTAAAAACGAATGATCATGTTCGTATGACGAACTGAAGGTAGCTCTATCGTAATCCATAATCTATCGCTATCCCAAACAGATGTCATCGCTTGACTCTTTCTGAACCATGAGAATATACAAGAACGTCCATTGACCGGTCGAGGATCGGGTCTTTTATTTCCACAGGTCGTTGAAGTAAAGGGCGAACCTTCTGAACGATTCCATAACGTGATAAATTCGAGAAGGAAGGTCTAACAATCAGAGGTTGGTTCCGGGTAGCAACACAAGAAGACATTTCCTGGCCTGATCCGCGACCACGTCCAGACCAACTTCCGGACCACTGGGCAACTTGCATACAAAGAGTCGGCCATGTGTAGTGGAAAGGCACGGTGTGGTGTCGGTGAGAGTGTATGTACGATCGAAGTCACTTCGTGCTGGCTTTAAATTCGCTTTACAAATTGACACTGCGATTCGGAAGCCAGGACGAAATTCGCCGAGGGATCTTCAGCCGAATGCGATCACCGAGCGAATCGGGCCCCGAGGGAGCTGTGATTGACTAGTTTTCGTGTCTGTACTGTCGTAATTTCCAAACGGAGCTAACGAAGGAGGAAATCTCAGCTGACGAACGACACGGAAGAAATCAGATTCCTCGGCGAATCTCTTGGCGACAAAGACCGGTGTCACAATCGTCCCCCGACTGATTCGTTTGTTACATGATCTGCGAGGGATGAAATGCGGAAGCTAAGCGAATAACTTGAATTAATGATGAGAATTTTGTAGTTGACACGAAGTTGAAGAAATAAAATCTCTTGTAAATGCATTTATAATAAAAGCAAGAATGTGTCAAAAAGTGTGAATATAATGTCAGAAGATGGAAGTTGAAACAGGATGTCAATAAAATAACCATATGTTTATAACGATTAATATAGATTTTATTAGAGATCTATTGCATGTGAGTATTGTACACCGTATCCATTAAGGCTTAAGATATTCGCAATATGATATATTAGTTTCAATGGTTGTCAATCGCTGTCCAAGGCGCGAAGTATGAATTGAATATTCGAATATATTTCAACAGAAAGTACTATGATTTCTTTGTAAAAATTTCTCAAAACTGTCTCTCCTTCGATCCAGTTTTGTAGAAAATTTTCTTAGGTGATCACCAAAAACCTAGACCATCTTCGAGTCTAGTTTTGGTCAAAGAAATTTCGCTATTTTCTATTGAAAATTTTTTAAAATGTTCTCCAAATATAGGAGAATAAAGGCAACTCATCATCTCGAAATGTTTTATGGTTTCTTTGAAAAAAATTCTCAAAAATATTCCTGATTCGGCCCAGGTTTGTAGAAAATTTCCTTAGGTGGTCATCGGAAACCTAGACTATCTTCGAGTCTAGTTTCGGTCAAGGAAATTTCACTATTTTCTATTGACAATTTTTTAAAATGTTCTCCAAATATAGGAGAATAAAGGCAACTCATCATCTCGAAATGTTTTATGGATTCTCTGAAAAAAATTCTCAAAAATGTGCATCATAAACCTAAGCCGTCTTCGAATCTAGTTTCTGTCAAGGAGACATTCATTCCATAAATGTATTTTTACATTTTTAATTGCCACTCTTTTGCGAGTTTCCTCTCCCTGGACCAGAAAATTTCTAAATGTCACGGGAGCAATCTAATTAATCAGAATAAAAAGGTTTTTAACGCAGCTGGAAAAAAAGAAGCTGATAGCATGAAGGAGACTGGCAGAGATCTGAAACACAGTGGTCGGCAAGGCGTTTGGCGGAAGTCCAAATTCCGCGATAGACTCTCGGTCGTACTCGCCTGGAAAGTCTTTCGCTCTAGACGGGGGTCGTCGTAATCACCGATTTCCCCTGTGCTGAGAATATTCAATTTCGAGGGGTGTGTGACTGTAAGTGGGCACGATCGGCAGGAAACGCCTACTGCTTCGTCTGGACGGGTTTATTTTTGGTTTCGAGCTAGTCCAATCGAAGGAACTCGAACGTTCCAATCTCGCGTACAACAACATCAACGCTTCGAGTAAAACGAGTTTGTATAACGATTGGGAGGGCGATTTAATTGCTTATAGCTTCCCCGATAGATAGCTAAATGATCGGTCAAATAAAAGGAACAAAAATTATTTTTATCCACAGTCTCGCAGGTACCATTTCTCGCCCTATTAGTCTCGTGATTCACTTCAATGAGGATCTATTAGACACAAGATTAACCCTTTCGCTACTACAGGTGACTATAGTGAAGCCACCTACACGCGACTATAGTCACCGGTCAGAAAAATTAAGACAAATATCATTCCGCTTAGCTCTCTTCGCGAAGAATTGCAAGAGTTACTGCGATGGTCAG